TCACAATGTACAAATATAAAAACTTGAGGTAGCATGCCGAACCATCTGTAGATGTCAGACGGAGAAACATTACAACTGCTTGTCTTTTACACTTTCATTCAACATGAAACATTTAGCAACAGTTGTCCCAATTCTACCTTCAGGTGAACAAGTACTGTAATTATATATTCTATTTTTCTTCCATTTTTGCAACGCTGCTTGGGCACACTGACTTGAATGGCAAACCCTAGGCAACTCAGATAGGTCACAAGGGTATAAACCAAAATCTCGTACAGAAGTGAAGATGCTTTGACTGCACCATGCTCTATGTCTCTAAATGTGTGTATTTATGTCTGCACAATTACAAACACTATATAAAATAGACTTATCGTGTGAATACTGCTATCTGAATAATAAAGTAGTTAAGCTGCTAGCCTGGCACTATGAAAGTCTTAAAGTTAAAGTTCACAGACAGGAAGGGCTGTCCTTCGGTTCAGAATCGCAGATGTTATGAAAATCCAGGAGGTTCACTGCTCTGTGTGAGGCCCTGGGCAACCAGCTGCCCTGCAGACCCCAGACAACCAGCTGCCCTGCAGACCCCAGACAACCAGCTGCCCTGCAGACCCCAGACAACCAGCTGCCCTGCAGACCCCAGACAACCAGCTGCCCTGCAGACACCAGGCAACCAGCTGCCCTGCAGACCCCAGACAACCAGCTGCCCTGCAGACACCAGGCAACCAGCTGCCCTGCAGACCCCAGGCAACCAGCTGCCCTGCAGACCCCAGGCAACCAGCTGCCCTGCAGACCCCAGGCAACCAGCTGCCCTGCAGACCCCAGGCAACCAGCTGCCCTGCAGACCCCAGGCAACCAGCTGCCCTGCAGACCCCAGGCAACCAGCTGCCCTGCAGACCCCAGACAACCAGCTGCCCTGCAGACCCCAGACAACCAGCTGCCCTGCAGACCCCAGACAACCAGCTGCCCTGCAGACCCCAGACAACCAGCTGCCCTGCAGACCCCAGACAACCAGCTGCCCTGCAGACCCCAGACAACCAGCTGCCCTGCAGACCCCAGGCAACCAGCTGCCCTGCAGACCCCAGGCAACCAGCTGCCCTGCAGACCCCAGACAACCAGCTGCCCCTGCAGACCCCAGACAACCAGCTGCCCTGCAGACCCCAGACAAACCAGCTGCCCTGCAGACCCCAGACAACCAGCTGCCCTGCAGACCCCAGACAACCAGCTGCCCTGCAGACCCCAGACAACCAGCTGCCCTGCAGACCCCAGACAACCAGCTGCCCTGCAGACCCCAGACAACCAGCTGCCCTGCAGACCCCAGACAACCAGCTGCCCTGCAGACCCCAGACAACCAGCTGCCCTGCAGACCCCAGACAACCAGCTGCCCTGCAGACCCCAGACAACCAGCTGCCCTGCAGACCCCAGACAACCAGCTGCCCTGCTCAGACCCAGACAACCAGCTGCCCTGCAGACCCCAGACAACCAGCTGCCCTGCAGACCCCAGACAACCAGCTGCCCTGCAGACCCCAGACAACCAGCTGCCCTGCAGACCCCAGACAACTAGCTGCCCTGCAGACCCCAGACAACCAGCTGCCCTGCAGACCCCAGACAACCAGCTGCCCTGCAGACCCCAGGCAACCAGCTGCCCTGCAGACCCCAGACAACCAGCTGCCCTGCAGACCCCAGACAACCAGCTGCCCTGCAGACCCTAGGCATATAAAACTGTGGCCATGGCATTTATTTTATATATCAATATCTCAGCGTTCTTGTACAAAGTTTAGTGTTGCCACAGTTTATTTCTGTTGCACAAGTACTTGGTACTGATACAATATTTCTGTACTGCAAATGTTGAGTGCTGCAAAGGTATTTCTGTTTAGTGTGGCATGCTATTTCTGTGCTGCTAATGTTTAGTGTGTCATGCTATTTATGGGCTGCTAATGTTTAGTGTGTCATGCTATTTCTGTGCTGCTAATGTTTAGTGTTGTCATGCTAAATTTGAGCTGCTAATGTTTAGTGTGTCATGCTAAATTTGAGCTGCTAATGTTTAGTGTTGCCATGCTATTTCTGTGCTGCTAATGTTTAGTGTTGCCATGCTATTTCTGGGCTGCTAATGTTTAGTGTTGCCATGCTATTTCTGGGCTGCTAATGTTTAGTGTTGCCATGCTATTTCTGGGCTGCTAATGTTTAGTGTGGCATGCTATTTCTGGGCTGCTAATGTATAGTGTGGCATGCTATTTCTGGGCTGCTAATGTTTAGTGTTGCCATGCTATTTCTGGGCTGCTAATGTTTAGTGTTGCCATGCTATTTCTGGGCTGCTAATGTATAGTGTGGCATGCTATTTCTGGGCTGCTAATGTTTAGTGTTGCCATGCTATTTCTGGGCTGCTAATGTTTAGTGTTGCCATGCTATTTCTGGGCTGCTAATGTTTAGTGTTGCCATGCTATTTCTGGGCTGCTAATGTTTAGTGTTGCCATGCTATTTCTGGGCTGCTAATGTTTAGTGTTGCCATGCTATTTCTGTGCTGCTAATGTTCAGTGTGGCATGCTATTTCTGTGCTGCTAATGTTTAGTGTTGCCATGCTATTTCTGGGCTGCTAATGTTTAGTGTGCCATGCTATTTCTGTGCTGCTAATGTTTAGTGTGTCATGCTATTTCTGGGCTGCTAATGTTTAGTGTTGCCATGCTATTTCTGGGCTGCTAATGTATAGTGTGGCATGCTATTTCTGTGCTGCTAATGTTTAGTGTGCCATGCTATTTCTGGGCTGCTAATGTTTAGTGTTGTCATGCTATTTCTGGGCTGCTAATGTATAGTGTGGCATGCTATTTCTGGGCTGCTAATGTATAGTGTGGCATGCTATTTCTGTGCTGCTAATGTTTAGTGTGGCATGCTATATTTGAGCTGCTAATGTTTAGTGTGGCATGCTATTTCTGGGCTGCTAATGTTTAGTGTGGCATGCTATATTTGAGCTGCTAATGTATAGTGTGGCATGCTATTTCTGGGCTGCTAATGTTTAGTGTGCCATGCTATTTCTGGGCTGCTAATGTTTAGTGTTGCCATGCTATTTCTGGGCTGCTAATGTTTAGTGTTGCCATGCTATTTCTGGGCTGCTAATGTTTAGTGTTGCCATGCTATTTCTGGGCTGCTAATGTTTAGTGTGTCATGCTATTTCTGTGCTGCTAATGTTTAGTGTTGCCATGCTATTTCTGTGCTGCTAATGTTTAGTGTGTCATGCTATTTCTGGGCTGCTAATGTTTAGTGTGTCATGCTATTTCTGTGCTGCTAATGTTTAGTGTGTCATGCTATTTCTGGGCTGCTAATGTTTAGTGTGTCATGCTATATTTGAGCTGCTAATGTTTAGTGTGGCATGCTATTTCTGGGCTGCTAATGTTCAGTGTGGCATGCTATTTCTAGGCTGCTAATGTTTAGTGTTGCCATGCTATTTCTGGGCTGCTAATGTTTAGTGTGTCATGCTATTTCTGGGCTGCTAATGTTTAGTGTTGCCATGGTACTTATGTGCTGCTAATGTTTAGTGTTGCCATGCTATTTCTGTGCTGCTAATGTTTAGTGTTGCCATGCTATTTCTGTGCTGCTAATGTTTAGTGTTGCCATGGTACTTATGTGCTGCTAATGTTTATAGTGTTGGCATGGTATTTCTGTAGTGCAAGTGTTGAGTGTTTGTTTCATGTTGTCATTTTCTGTTGTACCAGTTCAGTGTTGCCACGTACTTCTGTAGGACAAATGTTTAGGGTTGCCATTTCTTTCTGTAGGACAAATGTTTAGGGTTGCCATTTGTTTCTGTAGGACAAATGTTTAGGGTTGCCCTTTGTTTCTGTGGTACAAATGTTTAGTGTTGGGAACTGAACTACTTCAACCATCGAATAATCCTAACAATATTACAAACTCTACACACAAAACTCAGAATTTCCTCTGTTCCATGTGAATACCATCATGCATAACATTATATCTTTCAATGCTTACATCTGCAACTTCCTCAAGTGGGTTCGCAACACCAAACGGGTTGAGGGGTTGGAAATTAACATACTGTCCCCTAACGAGCATGCCGTAAATGGCGACTAACCAGGGATTTGCCTAAATTGGATGTGTTGGACTGAAGAGTGCAGATATCACAGTCTAGCTGTAAATCACAACATACCAACCACCCTCTTCAAAGCAAAAACTATATCTTCACCTGCTTACATCTGTATCTTCACCATTATATTAATCTTACGCCTGTATCTTTATCTTATTAAATCTATTTATTCAATTCCTTACATTTGTATATTCATTCTGTCACACCTGCATAGTCACTCTTTTACACCTGTATCATCCCCTGCTTGCATCTGTATCTTTGCGTGCTTGCATTTGTATCTTTGCGCGCTTGCATCTGTATGTTCATCTGATTGCATCTGTATCTTTGCGTGCTTGCATCTGTATCTCTGCATGCCTGCATCTGTATCTTCCCCTGCTTGCATCTGTATCTTTGCGTGCTTGCGTCTGTATCTTTGCGTGCTTGCATCTGTATCTCTGCATGCCTGCACCTGTATCTTCCCCTGCTGGCATCTGTATCTTTGCGTGCTTGCGTCTGTATCTTTGCGTGCTTGCGTCTGCACTTTCACTCTCTTACACATGCATTTTCACTCTCTTACATCCCACTACACCTTCCATTGTCACCTAGACAAAGCTAACACTCCTGTATCCGCTACAACTAACGCAGTTAGTTCACCGCCAATAAAAGCTACCCAAATGAAATGGGGCAACCATAAACTGAAACTTGACCTCTCATGAAATCAAACGTCAAGATCTGTCTTGATCCCCTTGGAACTCTCTTCCTTGTTTGTCACTGTGATAAAAGAAAGCCACGGTGCGCAAGCAGTCCTCTAATACTTGGCACTGCGGCTAGCAATACTGGCTTGTATACGTGCTCTATTGCTAATGCAGACAATATTGGCCGCTTCAACATACTTGTCTGTAAGTAACATGTAGCTGACAAACACAAAACAGGGACACAATTATAAGCCAAATCTTTCATGAATCAAAAACATCAGTTTTTTCTTTCCCTTGTATGCCAGTTTCATATTCTCAATAAGCTGGGAAAACTGTATGTGGCCGTCATGCGCCAGGAGGAAGGTTTCTCTGGCCTTAGTGAGGAAATCTATGAAGTCTGCGTAATGCCGGGGACTGATATGAGAAAGCCTGGAGTGAGCCGTATGAACGTAGGCCAGTATTGTTTGGTCCATAAGTTGCTTCAGCGGAACTTTGTCATAGCTCAGCAGTTTTAAAGTTCTACGTTTGCCGTCCAGGCAACCCATTCCTGGCGCACTGATGGTGCATCTTCTGAGAATGTCTGCTAAAACTGTAGCACACTGAATATTTTTCACCAAGATGGGAACCAAGCTGGCAAGCTCAGTCCGGCCGAGAGAATGAGCTAACGCACATGCCCAGTGAATATCAGATATCAAGGGGTGCGAGTCCTGGTTGTAGGCCACACTGAGACCTTTCATTGCCAGCAGTGCCAAGCGGAAAGCTTGAGATGGGTGGCCTCGGTGTTTCATGTAGCGAGCGATGGTAAACAGCTGGCTGGAGTTCATGATGTGGTTGGAAGCTTCCAACACTATCTGGTATGCAGTTTCAAAAGCCATGCTGTCTTTTTCACACAGATTCAATGCACACAGTGCGCAATTCTGTGGGTCTCGTTTGGCACACTGCAGCGCCAGGGTTCGCGCAGACTGTGCCAGTTCCTCCTGCTGGGCGTAGGTAGCGTTCAACTGCATCATTGTAGCAGGGGACATCACTGTCATTGCAACTGCACCTGGAATACGCAGGAAAATCTCAGGACATTTGTATAATTTCATGAAAAACAATAACAGGCAGAACAAAATTTCAACATACTTATAAAGTTACTGTTCAAAATGTTATCTTTCGAGATGCCTGAAAACACCTCAGACAGCTGAAATAAGTAATCTAATACAGTGAAAGAGACGGAGACACAAAGGCAACCTGCCACACAACAAAGAGGTAGTCTTAGTTTCTGGTAACATCAAGAATGACAACTGGAATATCTTGTAACAGCAGCATAGATTAATGCATACAGAGAGCCACTGCAAGGACAGATTCTAGACACACGGTATCTACCTGTTGACATCTGTGGAATGGGGAAACATTACAAATATTGAGTGGTCCGGCAGACGGCTAATACAGAAAGGACAATAACAGAGGACCGGGTAGGAGAAACAGGGACGGACCAGCATGAAAATAATCAAGATGACATAAGTAAACATTGAGCAGGAAAATTCACATGCAAGCAGACAAGCTGGCGAGGGGCTGAGTTTCTTTCAGGGTCCCTATGATAACCACTCACAGGACATGTAAAGGGTCACTTGACATAGACAGATTAGTATGGAACCCATATGCTTGTGGAGACCCAGGCAGGTCCAAGCGTTAAGACGGCACTTGTACCCCAACAGATGAGTATGGAACTCTTATGCTCGTGCCCCAATGGATAGGTAATTCAAAGTACAAACAATAATGACAATTACAGTGTTGAACGAAAAGAAGAATCACATAATAAAACTGTATTTATAGAAAATAAAATTTACAGTAAGATGAAAAATAATGTATATTTTTGTTATCTTCCGCTATACGTATTCTTGAAAAGATTTCTCTTACTTTTTTTTTGCTATTATAATTATTGCAAAGTCTATGAAAAATGCTCAAACTAATCTAATCTAAGAGATCAGTTTCTATACTTAACAGAGATGAGGCATTCAGCCTGCCTTGTGTAGATGTTCTGATGGGATTTTTTAAAAATATACTGCACTTCAGCCGAGAAAATAAACATTCAACTCCAAGCCTACTGACTTTTTTCTGGAGCCCCTCCCTTTATTAACAACTCCAAGCCTACTGGTTATTTCTGGAGCCCCTCCCTTTTTTAACAACTCCAAGCCTACTGGCTAGTTCTGGAGCCCCTCCCTTTTTTAACAACTCCAAGCCTACTGGCTAGTTCTGGAGCCCCTCCCTTTGTGATGCTCTAAGCCTGTGCTTAATGTGCTTGATGGTTTATCCAGCCTTGCCAAACAGGCGGGGAGTATCGTTTACGTTCAGTAGTTTCTCACTGCTTTATGAACGATAACATTGTTGAAATCAACACAAAACAGTCTGCTGCCAAATCGCCTGCAGCTGGAATAAAACAGTGCACCTGGGAATTATGAAACATACTCATAACGGCAACAAACAAGTAATAATACAGTTCAGCCATCTGATGTGAATGTCCCAGAACCAACTGCCAAAGAGGAAAATGCTGAAGAATATGAACAGAAAGTCAGGGGAAGACCATGCATTAGATGGAATGATGGCATTAAAAAAAAAGCCTGTAAAAAATGAAGACCAATTTGAACAACACACTGGAAAGAGCACAGAGATGATCCGGACACCTAGGAACAGTTAGGTGAGGTCAATGGAGGAAGAGACAAAGAAGACAAATGTTTTCAAGAGACTTGAACCAATGCCCACAGCAGGGCAGTGCAACTATCTTTACTCAGTAGCCAAAATGTTGAATAGGGGACCGTGGCCCAGAACAGAAAGATTATTAATACAATACAATAGGCAAGTGAAATGCGGACCACTTGCTAGGCCTCTGTGAGCCAGATTTGGCTGCGAGCTGCCAAACAGCCCTGGCCGAGAGATGGCCATGGTAAAAAAATAGGACTCTTTCCCATACCTTCAGGTGCACTGGGCATATAGGGCTAGACCTATGTTTTATATCCCAATCCACACCTGATGGTTGATGTTGTCAGCATCATTCCAGACACCTTTACTGTACCTGGCCCCCATTTAAGGCTGGGTTGACCTGGCTCCCATTAAAGTCTGGGTTGACCTGGCTCCCATTAAAGGCTGGGTTGACCTGGCACTATTAAAGGCTGGGTTGACCTGGCACTCATTTAAGGCCGGGTTGACCTGGCAACCATTTAAGGCTGGGTTGTCGTGGGAGACAAAAACAGCCCAGCACCAATGAACCTACTAACTCTAGATCAGCAGTTCAGCATTTAGCCACAACACAACAAGGGCCTCCTGACAAGGCTAACATTAGCGTGCAATAATTATGCTCAAAAGGCAAGACATACAACAACAGCAGCAGAAATCAGGACAGTTACTTACTGGAGGCTTCCACTGGGGCAAAATATTGATACCATGACTGCATCAGAGCCAGCAGAGCATCAACACCAACTTCCGTAGCGCAGGTGACAATCCATCTGACCATCTCTCTCCGCCGCCAGTTCAACGTCATCAGTGTCATTCTCATCACCTACATTTGGGCAAGAAATACTGATCAGCTGTCTAAACCAAGCAACTCAACATGAGTTGATCAACAACTACAAGTTAACACTGTTAGCAATGGAACATTTTCACAAAGAAACATAAGAATATAATCATCTCTAAGCAGCTTTACCGACAATTTGTTGGTTAGAAGTAGAGAGCAACGGCTGATCTACCTGCAGTACTGACCTGCACAAGGCTGCAGGTGACAGCTGGCTGGTGCCGCATTTATAATTTCTCTAGAGGTTGAATGGGGTATCTGGCATCTGACTTGTTGCTCTAACATCTAGATTCAGTTTATGCCTTTCTATCAGCTCTTTGCCTAACCTGTTTGTTTAAATGCTGTTTGCTGATTTAATCATGAAATGTGAGCAGATTTTGTTCCTTAATTAAGCCCATAACAACACCACGCCGGCCACCTTTACTTCCCAGGACTTTATTTGGGGCCAACTTAAGGCTGGGCCGATATGAGAGTCAAGGTTATTTCTGAAGAAAGTCCAGCTCCATCAGGGTATGAACCCACAACCTTCGGATCCACAGGGAATTGTGCAAGCCGTTACATTACAGTAGCTCTGACCACCTTAACAAGTATGCTATATCTGTAAATGGAAATCTAGAGGATTCATACAGTACCTGTAGGCCGAGTTCGAAAGCAGCTTTAAGTGCAGGAAGATACTTGGGTCCATCTGGAGGTGAGGCAATCTTAAAAGTGTCCTGAGCCAGACGAAACAGCTGTGAGGAGCTGTGAATGTGTCGCTGTGCACAGTCCAGTACTGACTGCAAACGTTGGATATTATCTGACAGAGAAAGACAGAGAAACATGTAACAACTGACACCAAAAGAGCGCACGATCCAATCAACTATTTCTCTTACCAACATCGTGTTAACAGTTCCAAATGTGGACCTTAACAGCACTCACCCATACAAAATAAAAATGGAAACAGAAATGGAAGTTTACCACAAATGTAACCAGAAGAGGCAGGATCAGAAATGATATCAGGAACAAAAGTTGGGATGGAAAAAGTACTGAAAAAAAAAAAAATGCAACAGATCAAATGGTTTGGACATGTGTCAAGGTTACCAACAATGAAAGCAGAGCTAGAGACTGACCAGGCAAGCGATGGACAATGGAATATCTGAGGCCATCAATATAAGCATCTATGTAGCGTATACGAAGCTGGCAGCCGATGCCTCTTGAAAACTTGATGCTGAAAGGCAGAAGAGAAGAAGAAGAAGAAACAAACAAAGACAGAAAACTGTTACTTTCCGGCAAGATGAGGTAGGCCTACAACTACAGTTTTACATGCCAATGTAGTATCCAGGCCACAATATTCTGTGCAACTCAGGTAAGACTGGTCCCCAGCCTGGCTGTAAAAGGAGGAGGGTCTGGCTGAACATGAATGCTTCATACATCACCGGAAGTAGTGGGTAACCATGAATTCAGCCAGATGGCTTGCAACAAGGAGGCCACAAGAAGTCACAACTAGCCAACAATCTGACTTAAACTATAATGACAAGTGTGGAATAGAACAAAGCAAAACGAAAATCTGTTACAGCCAAGGATCAACTAAGTAAGTCAGTAATATGTCCTGTGCAGTGGGTTAGTCTGAAAAAATAATAATAAAATACACAAAACCTGTGGAGGAAACATAACTAACCTAGGCTCCTTGCCAGTCAGTTAACATACACTCTGTTGAATCTCCAGGTTTTGGGTTAAAATCTAGTTTTTTTTTTTTTATGACCTTGGCTCCCAGGTCGACATAGCCTAAATTAGTATCTGGCAATCATCCACCACCATCCCATAGGTATTTGAAGTCAAAGTGCATCTGCCTGAGAGGCAAGGAACCAATAGTCTGCATTTAAATAAGCCAGATCTGTAACACACATGCACACACATGACTCAAGTTCTAGAACAAGACAAGCCCAGAAATGGATAAAAAACCAGAATTTTCTGCCAGAATTTACAGCTGGTGAAAGCTAAGAAGAAGGGAGTACCTGGAAGTGTCCTGGGAAGTAAGGGCAGCAGACGTCATGCTGTCTACACTGCTGTCAGAGTGTTGGTTAGTCTATAGAAATATAAGTCTAAAATCATACACCCAATATGCCACTGGCCTGACAAAGGTCTTCACTTAGATACAGTTGAATTACTGGCCGGTAACATCTTAATTATGTCTCTCCGCTGATGTGAGGCGCTAGCAATAGTCTTGTACATCTGTTGGAGAATGAACGGAGAACTCTGGAACACAGTCCCCATGGAACCAGTGTTTCTGACCTTGGAGAAGGAACGGAGAACTCTGGAACACAGTCCCCATGGAAGCAGTGTTTCTGACCTTGGAGAAGGAATGGAGAACTCTGGAACACAGTCCCCATGGAACCAGTGTTTCTGACCTTGGAGAAGGAATTGAGAACTCTGGAACACAGTCCCCATGGAACCAGTGTTTCTGTACCGGGCTGGGAGGAAAGTCTACACTAACCTCGCTGAAAGATTCAAAAATTCAGAAAAGACCTCGTCTATTCTTCTACTATGAGCACCCAAACCTCACGTAGCCAAGAAACAATGCTCGCTCCTTACAGAAACTAATACTGTTTATACAGCCAGCTTCCAGCATTGAGATCTTTCCTATGTCGATGACAGCCGTAAACACACTGCGGTCACCCTGCTATCACAGTTTGCTGCAGGGGCTGTCTGGTTGTGGATTTGTGGATCTGGGGTGAAGAAGACAAAGATGATGACGGAAAAGGAGGAGGAGGAGGAAGAGGAGAAGAAGGCATCAATGCTGATGAAACACTTTTAGCAACTTTCAGAAGGGTGGAAGCCAGAAGCTATAATGTACCAAAGGGACACTTTTGGCATCATCTTAAAGGATAACAGACAGGAGCTAGCATATATATATATCAATGTGGATGAGACACTTGTCTCAGCTTCTAGGATGACTGCTAGTAGCTAGAGGACATTATGAGATAAGATACTTACTTTTGGCAGCTTCTAGAAGGATGGAAGCCAGGAGACACTGTTGTGATTCCACATGTGACAAGATGAACCAGCGAGGAAAGCGGGTCAGCATGTTTGCATTGTTCACACTGTCCTCCATATTAGCATCATCCAGATTTTCCAAGATCGGAAGTCTAGGTTTTTAGAGACAAACAAATAGAGGCATCAGTTAATTTACTTTGGCTTTCATACAACAGTAAAATCTGGCATAATCTGAAAGAAAAAAATAGGGACATCTATCAATTTATTTTGGCAATCATACAACAAAACATCTGGCATAAGAGTCAATAAAAAACCGCAGATCCTTCTGGAATTTGCGCATGCAATTTTAGCTATGGCTTCAGGGTTTCATCTAAGGAAATAAGCACTTCATTTCCAGCATCACAGTGCATTTGTCAATGTAACTTTCTTTGTGGACAACTTTGTTGCTAGTAATATGTGGCCACAAACAGCTAAGCTTATACTTTGACCCTTTCAAGCCCCAGAATTTTGAATCTGATGATATGTGTATGTTTAATGCTGATACAGTTAGTGGAAAACAAGAGAATTCAGCTGCTGCTGTTATGTTTACAAAAACACAACTTTTACAAACAATCTTTTACTGATCATGGTTTTGCAGCCATTAGAGCAGTAAATATCTACATTCGTGAATAACACTTTAAAGTTTGTTCAATTTCCGAACAAATTCCAAAGTTACGGGTTTCTGGGTTAGTTTACTACTCAAAGGTTCTAGGTTCTTATAGAGTGCTGCACACAATTTCAAAGAAAAAATGGACACAAGGTGGACCATTCCACATCAAATATTGACTTTGTACAGTTATATGCTGAATGTAGCTGTACAGATTTCAGTGCAGCTTAGCCATAGTATGGTAGTTTGAGATGTCCTTTGGATGCGTGGTTGACTATCACATCCTTCACAAATGATATGGGTTCTCCTGGGTTTACCGCATCAAAACTGCTAGATTTCTTAACAGCTGACCGCTCGCCCGCCATTGGTGTAAATGCTTTCAGAAAAATTGAAGTTTCTATTATCATAATCCCAATATAAAACAACTGACTGAAACAATTTCAGAGCTTTAGTCACAGAAAGGCGCATTTTGCAGCCTGTGCTTATGTTAAGAACACTGGTATCCATGGTCATTCATAGAAGAAATCAGAAAATTCTGCCTGAAAATGAGGCAAGCAATAAATTGAAAAAAATTGACATCAAAATGTGTAAAGACTTGTAAACAAAGTAAACATTTTAGAGTAACCTTTCCTGAATTTTTAATGTTACGTTTCAGATAGTAAAAACTAATACAGAACAGCAAGCAAACAAACAGTCACACTGTAGATTCTCATAGCAGACTAGCTGAAGCAGAGGATGTTTTAAAGTAACTAATAAGGTGAACTCTAAGAAGAAAACAGAACTAATAAATATAATCACCTCATTGCTCGCAGGCCCACTTGGAATGCTAGATCTTCATCTCTGGTCACCAGCTTGAGGAAGAGGAAGTGAGCAAACATATGCATGGGGTAGCTCTCCGGATGGATTCCCACACCCAGACCACTCCAGGATCCACCTTAAGGATGATGACAAATAACACGGGTCAACTAATTTCTCTCTATCTCACACTGTCAGTTTCTCTCGAACTGTCAGCTTCTCTCGAACCATCAGGTTCTTTCGAACTGTCAGTTTTTCTCGAACTGTCAGTTTCTCTCACACCCAGTTTTTCTCTCACTGTCAGTTTCCCTCACACCCAGTTTTTCTCAAACTTTCAGTTTCTCTCACATCCAGTTTCTCCCACACCCAGTTTCTCTCACAGCCAGTTTCTCTCTCACTGTCAGTTTCTCTCACACCCAGTTTCTCTCTGTCAGTTTCTCCCACATCCAGTTTCTCTCGAACTGTCAGTTTCTCTCACACTCAGTTGTTTTCTCAAACTGTCAGTTTCTCTCACACCCAGTTTCTCTTGAACTGTCAGTTTCTCTCACACCCAGTTTCTCTCGAACTGTCAGTTTCTCTCACACCTAGTATCTCTCGAACTGTCAGTTTCTCTCACACCTAGTGTCTCTCTCACTGTCAGTTTCTCTCACACACCCAGTCTCTCTCCTCTCACATAATTGCAACTCTTCCCTGTGTCATCTTGTGATCTCTGGTGACTTCGCCATTTAACTCTGAACAAGAGAATAACTGCTTCTTTTAACTTCTAAACATCTCCCTCTTTTTACTGGTGATATTCAATCATAAACATGCACTTTACAGCAGTCAAAATGAATGTTCATGCCTAATAGCCCCCCCCCCCCCAAGAAGAAACCGTCTAGAATGATAACTCATTAAAATATATCCACCGTCTAGAATGATAACTCTGTAAAATATATCCACTGTCTAGAATGATAACTCAGTAAAATATATTCACCGTCTAGAATGATAACTCAGTAAAATATATCCACCGTCTAGTATAACTCAGTAATATATCTTAACTGTCAAGAATGATAACTCAGTAAAATATATCCACCGTCTAGAATGATAACTCAGTAAAATATATTCACTGTCTAGAATGATATCTCAGTAAAATATATTCACGGTCTAGAATGCTAACTCTTGAGAAAAAAGCTTGTTCACATCAGAAGATGTCTCTCAAGCCACACCCCCCTCCTCCCCCCCCCCCCCCCCCCCCCCCATCAAGAAGACAAACTCACCCTCTAGAAGCAGAACCGTCTCCGCCTGTAAGACCCGTAGCAAGGTGGAGTCCAGCTCAATGGTGTTTAACTTGGCCAGGAGTCTTTCTTCTTGCTTGCAAGCTTTCTCCTGGCAGTGAATGCCAGTTGGCATTATACGCTGCTGGCCCAAGCCTGGCAAGACACAAGTCAACGGACAGAAGTGAGAAGTCAATGGACAGAAAGTCAACGGACAAAAGTGAGAAGTCAACGGACAAAAGTGAGAAGTCAATGGACAAATGTGAGAAGTCAATAGATAAAAAGGAAAACAAAATTATAATAACGAACAAATAAAAATTGAACACCAAAGAATTAGAGTATAAAGTCAACAGCTAATGAATTTTTTAAAATATATAAATGGGGGTGGGGGGGGGGGGGGGGAGAGGGGGGGAGAGACCACTAAGAAATGTAATAACAGATAAAAGTAGGAAGTCAGTGGGCAAAAGAAAGAAGACAATAAGACCTAGCTGCCACCCAGACAGATAACTGTCAAACAATAAGACCTAGCTACCACCCAGAAAGATAACTGTCAAACAATAAGATCTAGTAGCCACCCAGACAGAAAGATAACTGTCAAACAATAAGACCTAGCTGCCAACCAGAAAGATAACTGTCAAACAATAAGACCTAGCTGCCACCCAGAAAGATAACTGTCAAACAATAAGACCTAGCTGCCACCCAGAAAGACAACTGTCAAACAATAAGAACTAGTAGCCACCCAGACAGAAAGATAACTGTCAACATAAGAACAGTAGCCACCCAGGAAAGATAACCAATAAGCTAGTGCCACCCAGAAAGATAACTGTCAAACAATAAGACCTAGCTGCCACCCAGAAAGATAACTGTCAAACAATAAGACCTAGTAGCCACCCAGACAGAAAGATAACTGTCAAACAATAAGACCTAGTAGCCACCCAGACAGAAAGATAACTGTCAAACAATAAGACCTAGTAGCCACCCAGACAGAAAGATAACTGTCAAACAATAAGACCTAGCTGCCACCCAGAAAGATAACTGTCAAACAATAAGACCTAGCTGCCACCCAGAAAGATAACTGTCAAACAATAAGACCTAGCTGCCACCCAGAAAGATAACTGTCAAACAATAAAACCTAGCTGCCACCCAGACAGAAAACTGTCAAACAATAAGACCTAGCTGCCACCCAGAAAGATAACTGTCAAACAATAAAACCTAGCTGCCACCAAGACAGAAAACTGTCAAACAATAAGACCTAGCTGCCACCCAGAAAGATAACTGTCAAACAATAAGACCTAGTAGCCCCCCAGGCAGATAACTGTCAAACAATAAGACCTAGTAGCCACCCAGACAGAAAACTGTCAAATTATAATTTATGATTTTGTGGATTGTGCCAACATTTAGAGACGTATTTAACTTTTAAATTTAAAAAACAAAATATAGCCAAAAAAAGCCTACTTTAGAATGTGTTATCGTTTATGATACTATGTGGTAAGGTAATCAGTTTGCATTAATGTTGACTGTATCTCCTTTACAGCACGTTGTAGAACACAGCCCTGGCAATTTTTTTGCTGTTTGTGGTTTCACTAGATCATTTGCTGTTCAGTAGTTTGCCACTGCTTCGGAATGGCCGGCTCTCAATACCACTGTTACAACCAACACAAGGCAGTCTGCTGCCAAATTGCTTGCAGGTGGGATAAAATCAGGCAGGTTGGAATAACAAATTGTCTATAATTGCCCAAGGCAGCACAGGCGGTGACAGGTGGCACTAACCACTTTATAATACTGAAGTCATTTACAGAACATCACTAACGACATACACCCACAACATACACCCACAACATCACAAAACACATACACCAACAACATCATCGATGACATACACCCACAACATCATCGATCACATACACCCACAACATCACCAACACCATACACCCACATCACTGACCACATACACTCACAACATCACAGACCACATACACCGCAACATCACCGACCACATACCCCCACAACATCACTGAACACATACCCCCGCAACATCACTGACCACATAAACCGGCAACATCACCGACTACTTACACCTACAACATCACTGATCACATACACCTACAACATCACTGACCACATACACCCACAACATCACTGACCACATACACCCACAACATCACTGATCAAATACACCCACTACATCACTGACCACATACACCCACAATATCACCAACCACATACACCCACAACATCACCGACCACATACACCCACAACATCACTGACCACATACACCCACAACATCACTGACCACATACCCCCACAATATCACTGACCACATACATCCACAACATCACTGACCACATACACCCACAACATCACTGACCACATACACCCACAACATCACTGACCACATACACCCACAACATCACTGACCACATACACCCACAACATCACTGACCACATACACCCACAACATCACTGACCACATACACTCACAACATCACTGACCACATACACTCACAACATCACTGACCACATACACCCACAACATCACTGACCACATACACCCACAACATCACTGACCACATACACCCACAACATCACTGACCACATACACCCACAATAGACAACAGCGGCACCCACCTATTAAAGCCACTTCATAGGCTAGAGTGAGGTAGGTTTGTTCATGTTCCGCAGCACCTGGTATACTAACATGCTGGTACCGGCGCCTGCTCTCATTGCTGTTCTCATTGCTGAGGTGACGACTGTACAACTCTGCAATCATTCACAGAAGGTGTACTCATTTAGCCTTCATAGACACACATTGAAAAAAAATAATTTGAACAGTACACAAATAGTCATTTAAGACCGCAAAACTTCTGAGAACACAAAGCTGATCTGTCACTAAAAACATTCACTGCTAACGTCGGAGGAGAAAGAGGAGATATAAAAGGTAAGTTTTTATGATAGCTAATCATTAGCCGTGGTAACAGAAAGGATACTTCTAAAAACTAAACCATATAATAAAAGAAAATCCCAAATAATGAACTACATTAGAATGTGAAAAAACATTTTTAGACATTTTTTTAAAGTTAGAATACATATCAAGATTTATTTCTCTCAGCAATTTATAGTGAGCTATGATTTTTTTTTTTTTTTTGCTGTAAAACAGTGAAAATGTTGACGGCAGCTTCTTATTTCCTTTAACTAAAAAAAAAAAAACTGTAGTGAAATGACTTTCCAATTCCTTGGCGGGAAAAACCAAAACCAGTAAGTTTTATGGCTCCAAATGGTTAAAGCCCAAACATGGCTGCAGACAAAAATATGGTCAATACCACACCAGCTGCTTTTACTTCCCAGAAATTGTCCAGTACACAGTGTAAGCTGGGTTGACTTGGGATTCAGAGTCAACTTTTAAAAAAATTCTTTAAATTGGCGTTTTGAACCCATGACATCAAATAGGCAAGCATGTTACCAGTGAGCTCCCACTGCTCCTGATTTCCTCTCTAGTGAAGTTGGTTAAACCTGACTTTCGCGGTGACCGGGTGACGAACTGCTTGTGGTCCGGATGCAAAGTGGTCAAGTCGCTTTTCCTGCATTCTGAAACTCCTGGGGTTTGTTTCACATATGTATTTTTCAACTGCTAAATGCAGCTTTTGTGGAGATCTCTAGGGATCATTCCTGAAGCTAAGGAGGTTGTGTTTTGTGTGACGTGCTTGGGAGGCAGCTGGCCATTCTGTAATGGGAGGCTAAGGCATATAAGATTTAGCTCAGTGTAAAGAAGTCAACTGTGTCGAACTTTTAACATTTTCAACTCTTTTAGTCTCATAAGATTATGCTGCAATTGTTCAAGAGGGATGTAAACTAACTGGAAAAAATATAAATATATTACTTTCACACGGGCATATACTGTGCCAGATTTCTTAAGTATGTTCAAACCAAAAGTATATCACATCCAAGAAGGATGTAAACTTACTGGAAAAAAATATGAATATATTACTTTCAAACGGGCATATACTGTGCTAGATTTCTTAAGTATGTTCAGACCAAAAGTATATCACATCCAAGAATGATGTAAACTTACTGGAAAAAAATATGAATATATTACTTTCAAACGGGCATATACTGTGACAGATTTCTTAAGTATGTTCAGACCAAAAGTATATCGCATGTTAACACACAGTGCCCTGTTTGATACAAAGTCAGTAGCTAATACCACACAGTGCCCTGATTGGGATAGAAAGTTAATGGAAAGTGCCAGTTCTAGGATAATCCCACACAGTGCCCTGATTGGGATAGAAAGTTAATGGAAAGTGCCAGTTCTAGGATAATCCCACAGTGCCCTGATTGGGATAGAAAGTTAATGGAAAGTGCCAGTTCTAGGATAATCCCACAGTGCCCTGTTTGGGATAGAAAGTTAATAGAAAGTGCCAGTTTTAGGAACAGCAAGTTAATAAAAAGTGTTGGTGATCCCCTAGTCTCGGCAAGCCCGGCTGTATCACACATCACTGACCTTGAGGAATGTCATCTGACACCAGGCAGGCCTCACACAGCGTGTCAAACAGCACCCCAATGGGGTCCAGCGGGTGTCCGATCCAGCCCACGGCATTGTAAGGTGTGTGGTGTCTCCCACAAACATGGACAGAACAGGTGCAAGTGCCTGCGTTCTCTGTGGATCAACAATCAGACAATTCTACCTCAAGTATCCATGACTACCAGCAATTTCGGACAATCTACCTTCATGTGACATAATGCAAACTAACATCAGCAGGTGCATGAGAGAACTATACCCCTTTTTTGTAATATATAATTTATTTTCAAATCTTTTATCCAATAACTTTAAAGTAATAACTAACAAAAATAATTAGCTTAATTTATGCTTAAATATGACACAATCATATTATATAATTTTTTTTTTTTTAAATAAAATAAATTTCTCAATAGTCCTTATCTACTTCCCAAGTAAGGGCGATACACAGGTAAACTTTTAATCAGGTTACAATCTCCTTCCTAAGTAAGGGAAATACACAGGCAAACTTTAAATCAGGTTACAATTTGTACTAACATCATGTCGACTCTTTTTTTTTTTTTTCTGCCTCCTGAAACAAAGGGAATGAAGTCTGTGTGGGAGTATCCTGCGTGCAGTGATGCCAATTCTTGATTCATTGATTCCTATTTTGTTCCCCCTCTTTATAAACCTGATCCTTTTCCCAAGAATTCATCTCTAGACATTTATGTCTCAAGTTAAATGTAATGAATGAGCAAACTGGCTGGCCAGTGTTGCACGAAAGCATGCGAGTATGGGGGGGGGAATGAATGAGCAAACTGGCTGGCCATTATTGCACCAGCTGGCCAGTGTTGCACGACAGCATTTGAGTGTGGGGGGAATGAATGAGCAAACTGGCTGGCCAGTTTTGCACGGCAGCATGCGAGTGTGGGGGAAATTAATGAGCAAACCAGCTGGCCAGTGTTGCACGACAGCATGCGAGTGTGGGGGGAATGACAGAATCAGACAATTGACATTTGGTAACAGATCCCTTATGCTAACAAGAGCCCACCATCTCAAAGTGCAGCATGTTAGAACCATCTTTGAGGTCAAGGCAGCGTTGTAACCAACTTCTCACTGCAACGATCAGTTGAGGTACTCTGAGGTGACTGCAGCATCGGAGCACTGAGTACACAGGAGTACGTCTAATGTGTCGACTATCGTAACATAACATGCACACAACACATCTTTGTATCACAGTAGAAGCTGACCCTTATATCTTCTACTACCTATAATTTACCATTCAGGATGTTTTTATGAACAGCAACAACAGATGTGTACACTTCAATGTAAACATAACAAGAAAACAGAACTTACTTGTTCCTTGAATGTTATTCCAGCTGTCGCTGTTGGCCACCAGGTTCACTTTCATTGTCCTGACTATTGCCACAGCCAATCGCAAAGCTTCTTTGGCGTAACCATGTGACCTAAGGGCATCCACTCTTGCACAAGCAGTTGGGATGTATTCTAGATGAGAAAATATCCGAAAATGTATCAATGTCACATAATGACGCATAAAATTAATGTCCATGTAATGTAAATCTTTGTAGTCTGTGCTTGTAGAAAGGTGTAACTTTTTTACAGGTTTTGATGATTGAATCTTCATTTCATTGATTCTTCAAAACAATAAATCATTATTATTTTTTCATGCATTCTTTAAACAGATAACAACCATCATTTTCTAGGAGGAGTACAGATATCAGACACAATGCTCTTCTTCTTCTTCTGGTCTAACTCTTAATGTCGCATAGACCATAAACCAGTGCTTCTCCAAGTGCAGGTCGCGACCCTTTTGTATCGCCTGACCCTTTCACAGGGGTCGCCAAAGACCATAGGAAAACACATATTGATTGAAGTTGTGAAGTAGCAAAGGAAATAACTATGGTTGGAGGGGGGGGGGGGGGTGTGTGTGGCCACAACATGAGGAATTGTGTTAAAGTGTTGCCGCATTAGCAAGGCTGAGAGCTACTACTACCATAAACCAACCAAACCAAGTTGTCCTATTTTATCTACCTTATGTGTGCGCTGTTGTGTGGGTGTGTGAGTGGGGGGGGGGGGGGGGGGGGGGTCCAGTGTATAGAGACATTCTAGTTATATTCTTAGGTCTCTCAAGACATGTCCACTTTATCACCAACATCTTTTCCTCACCTTTTTTTGGTTGCTCACTGGAACTGGTTTAATTCTCTCCCATAGCTCCACATCAGTGACTACCATACCAAAACCTATAGGGGAACAATTAGAGAATATAACCTACGTAGTTTACAAGTGCCTGGGGTAAGAGAATGACGACATCACAGCACCAGGTTTTATTGCATATGGCTAATTATCTCTCCACAGAGAGACTGTTTATCAATGAGAGCACCGCACAAAGCAATAACTCCCATAGTAAAAACAAAAAAATATGTACCTCTCCAAAGTGGAAGACCGCGACTGTCAAAGTTATCACTTCCCATCTCGTTAGCACTCCAGTACATGTCAGAGGCCAGGATATTCTGCAAGTGGGTGTCATTCCAGGTCAGGTCACTGGCTTCTAAAGCATTGTGCAGCACTGTTCTTTGGTTGTTTTGGACAGAAGAGCTAGAGAAAACTGGCAGGAAAAATAAATATGTAGTTCTGTCAAAAGACTAAACACCAAATACTAGCTCTAATGGAAACAATACATGTAAGGAATTAACATGAGTGATAAAGTGCAATGAAATTAGTTTTTAACAACAACTTGTTATTTCATGTATTTTACTTTATTTTCTTTTTGTTCTTCAAACTTTGAAGCTCAACTCCTTTGAATGGAAGAGGCTCAATGGACAAGTGTTGCGACTGAACTTTGAAACTCAACTCCTTTGAATAGAAGGGGCTCAATGGACAAGTGTTGCGACTGAAGGAGTGAATAAGTTTTGTTTCCCATGTGGGTTCCAGGACAACATTGTGGGGAAAACAAGAACAGACCCACACAAGTATGTCATAAGAGTCCACTAGCTAGGAGCTTCGTTCAAAGTCGGAGTGCATGTGCCTGAGAGGCAAGGAACCAACAATCCGCATACAGAGTTAAGTTCTGGAACAAAACTAAATTCTATAGGTGAACCAGAACTTTCCGTCCAGAGTTTTTATTCTTTAATGAGGCAGACAAATTTCACTTGCATTTTCCTGTTTCCCGTAATTTTTTTTATTTCATTCCACCTCTCAGAACCTGTGTCTTTGATTGTTGTTGGTCACAGAGACAACTCTCTTTCACACAGACAAACCTGAGTGTCTTTAATTATTGTTGGTCACAGAGACACCTCTCTTTCACACAGACAAACCTGAGTGTCTTTAATTATTGTTGGTCACAGACACACCCATCTTTCACACAGACAAACCTGAGTGTCTTTGATTGTTGTTGGTCACAGACACACCCATCTTTCACACAGACAAACCTGAGTGTCTTTAATTATTGTTGGTCACAGACACACCCATCTTTCACACAGACAAACCTGAGTGTCTTTAATTATTATTGGTCACAGAGACACCTCTCTTTCACACAGACAAACCTGAGTGTCTTTAATTATTGTTGGTCACAGACACACCTCTCTTTCACACAGACAAACCTGAGTGTCTTTAATTATTGTTGGTCACAGACAAACCTGAGTGTCTTTGATTGTTGTTGGTCACAGACACACCTCTCTTTCACACAGACAAACCTGAGTGTCTTTAATTATTGTTGGTCACAGACACACCTCTCTTTCACACAGACAAACCTGAGTGTCTTTGATTGTTGTTGGTCACAGACAAACCTGAGTGTCTTCAATTATTGTTGGTCACAGACACACCCATCTTTCACACAGACAAATCTGAGTGTCTTTGATTGTTGTTGGTCACAGACACACCCCTCTTTCACACAGACAAACCTGAGTGTCTTTAATTATTGTTGGTCACAGACACACCCATCTTTCACACAGACAAACCTGAGTGTCTTTGATTGTTGTTGGTCACAGAGACAACTCTCTTTCACACAGACAAACCTGAGTGTCTTTAATTATTGTTGGTCACAGACACACCCATCTTTCACACAGACAAACCTGAGTGTCTTTAATTATTGTTGGTCACAGACACACCCATCTTTCACACAGACAAACCTGAGTGTCTTTAATTATTGTTGGTCACAGACACACCCATCTTTCACACAGACAAACCTGAGTGTCTGATTGTTGTTGGTCACAAACACACCCATCTTTCACACAGACAAACCTGAGTGTCTTCAATTATTGTTGGTCACAGACACACCCATCTTTCACACAGACAAACCTGAGTGTCTTTGATTGATGTTGGTCACAGACACACCCATCTTTCACACAGACAAACTTGGATATACAGTGCCCGGACAGGTGAGGACACACACATGCTAAATTTTTTCATCTTTCCTGTTCAACTGATGTAAACTCTGGCGGACTGGTTGTTCATCTACTTTATTTGACAGATCTGGCCTATCTGTATACAGACTGTGATGGTTCATTGTTTCTCAGGCAGATGCACTCACACTTTGAAGGAAGCCTGCAATTAGTCGGCTCCTACAACATGCTTGTTGGGGAGGCAGTGGGTCTATTCTGATTTCCCCCACAATGGGGCCCTGGAACCCACACCAGGGATATGTTCATTTTAAGGAGCGCCTACAGATGAAACACTCATGTTGGATGTGGCAAAAACAAAACAACAACAAAATACAACAACCAAAAATGCCACCTCCACAATGAAGGTTGGTTATAATGAATCCAGTACTGCCTTTGAGAATATTACGTGGTGAGACCCATATTTCTTCCATGGTGCAACTCTTGTGCTCTCGTCCTGAAGTCACAAAAGCAGTTTTCCCCCCTCTCAACCAACCACAGTGGGTTGCAAACCCTGGTACATCAAAGCTGGTGAACTACACTCCTTGATCTTTAAACAACAAAGCCACAAAACTGCAGGCAATAAAAACAGTTCACTCCTGGACACAAGAAAATAAGGGGAGAAAACAACATCTCAACTGCAACAGCTGCACATGTACTGACCTCTGAGTCGGAAACTTCCCCTGGTACCGATGTCACTGAGTAAATTACCCTCACCGTCCTCAAGTGGACACACAGGGGAGACAACCCACTGCTTGAGAAGTTTCTGCCACAGAGCTCGGTCCTGGCTTGTGCTGTGAGGGTTTAGCACTACACACACCCACAGTGCGCCTGCATCAATGTGGACACACACCATTAAAACATCCTTCCAACAATCTCACTGCAGTGTAACATTCACTTCTTCTTCTCCTCTCTATTTTCACTGGATCCTGTTCTGCCTTTCAGTGTCAGGTTTTTAAGAGGCATCTGGTGCATGCTACAAAGATGTCCAATGTTAGTATACACATCCCCAGATACTTCATCTATCCACTGCTTGCACGGGCAACCTCTAGCTCTGCTTCCATTGTGTCTGAGTGATAGGGTTCTCTATAGTGCTCTATCTTGTGGTAGTTAGGAGTTGGGTTACCCCAAGGTTAATAGTGCCAGTACTTTGCTGGTTGACAAGACTTCTTGTATGTCCGGTGTGCCTATCATGCCTGACTGTGCCAATCTTCACCTCCTATTCTCAGCTGCTCACAAAATCCTCTGACCATCCTATCTTTCTAAAGGTCTTAGCAATGCCCTTATAGCAAGGCTGTTCAACTGGCGTCCCGCAGAGGCCTAGCTTGTGGCCCGCGGGTCACTGCCAGTTGTATTGTATTAATGATCTTTCTGTGCTGGGGCTGGGGCCTCTGGCCCGTGACCATCCACATTTTCAACATTTTGGTCCCTGAGTCAAATGAGCTGATCAGCTCTGCCTTAGAGAGATAAGACGATCAGTGGATTCTGGGACTAACAAATCAACACACGTCTTTCTGCCTATGCCCTACAACAGGTCAGACTTTATATAGCACTTATAACAGACTTTTTTTCACAACTGATAGCCCTATTTTGGTATAATAACAAAACTAGTAATCTTGTTCTCAATTTGGCTAAATACTGACAGATGGGAGCCGTCAGTGTAGAGGTCAGATGCTTGCCTGTGGATTAAAGGTCATGAGTTCAAATCGGAATAGAGCTCCCAGCTCAACCCAGCCTTAACAGGGTACCAGGGATAGTCCTGTGAAATAAAGCTGGTCAGAGTAATGCTAACCACATCACCCATCGAATGCAAATTGTACTATAAATATAAAATACAGGTCTGGCCCTATATGCCCAATACACATGAAGGCAAAAAAATGACCCTTTTCACAACTGATAGACCTATTGTCAAATCTAAGTTTTTTTTTTTTTATTCCTCTTTTTTTTTTTAACTTCCAGAACTCTCTTAGTCCCAGGGGGTTTAGCATCTGAGGCCCAAGTGGATTTGCAAGAGACGTTATATCGAGACATTTTGCTTTCACAAGACATCTCGGTAGAATCAATGAATGTATGATACGCTCCTTGGGACTGAAAGAGTTAAAGAGGTCACTGAGATATTCATAATACTATGCTGATGCGACAAGTCTGACTGTGTAAACAAAAATGTCAACTCCATAAAAATATGTTTACTCCAAATTATCTTTAACGTTTTTTTCCCGAAAGGCTACAAGAAAAGATGCTCACCTAATTCGTCCCAGAACTGATTGCACTTGTCGGTGAGTGGTGTGCCCTGAGTTCGCCACAAGGAAAGCCGCGGGTCTGCCAGGAACTGTTCAGTCATTAATGTCAGCATGCGAGCACCATTGGAATCTTTGGCTCTCAACATCTCACGCACCTGCCAATGATGGATAGATTACTAGAAAACATGACAGATTTGGATCATTATCACAGTTCTATTGTGTTGTTATATCTCACACAGGGCTCCCAAGGGCTTGCAGTCTAATCCACACTCCATCCAATCTTGTGCAGTCACTTTGATATCGTGGATGGAATCCAGTCCAGTAACTTCGGCTTCCCTTATCAACATTCACCTTAAGGTTTCTCTTGGATGTTTTCATTTCCTCAATCTCTTGACCTCCCATTTTAATAAATACCTGGTGATTCTCTTATCGGGAGTCGCCATGGCCGAGCGGCTAGACGATCGTCGCGGATCGGAAGGTCGTGGGTTCGCTCCCTGGCAGAGCCAGACTTTTTTCAAAAATGACCTTGGCTCCCAGGTCGACCCAGTCTTGAGTGGGTACCGGGTGCAGTCTCACCCATTTTGTGCCGATTGGTCTATAAAAATATAGGTCTAGCCCTATATGCCCTATACGCCTAAAGGCGTGGAAAAGGGTCCTTTACTTTTTTTTTTTTGATTCTCGAATGGTTTCTACTCAGGATGTGTTCAGGACATCACTATCTTATTTGTCCTGTAACTGTTGATACCAGTGGTTGCCCAATCATACACTTATTTCTTCACCACTTTATATATTTAGTTTTTTTTTTTCTCAGTGTTCAATGACTGTAAACTCCAGTTGAAAGTTCTGGTTGTTCATCCACTTCTATACTTTGGTGCTGCTCCAGAACTTCAGTCTAGCATGTAAATTCTGGCTTATCAGTATGCAGACTGTTGGTTCCTCACCTCTCAGACAGATACACTCTAACTTTGAAGGAAACACCTCGAATTAGTCACCTACTATGAAATGCTTGTCAGACACTGAGTCGATTCTTGTTGCCTCCCATATTGCAACCTCAGAACCGACATGGAGAAAACATTTCAATAATTAGTAAATTCTTTGGCTCATTACAATCAATAAAGGACAAGCGGCAATTTCCACACATTTTCTGGCAACAGAGAAAGGAAAAATGGGAGATTTGGCAAATAAGCAAAGGAATGCAACAACAACAACAACAACAACAACAACCAAAAAAGCAAGTCAAGCATTCAAAGCACTAGAAAATGTGTGGTAGTGAACAGCAATTAAACCCAGTTTTGTACTGCTCCTTTTAGCATTCACCGGATATCAACTCTGGTGCAAAGTTCTGGTAATTCGTCCACTTTGGGACTTTTATCTTGTTCGGGAATTTGAGTTTTGAGTACACATCCATTAAAAAAAATCTAGATTACTTGTATGCGGATTGTTGGTTACTCGTCTCTCAGGAAAATGCATTTCGCTTCTGAAGGAAAGTCTCCTATGACATACTTGTTAGCGAGGCAGCAAGTCTACACCCCTCCCCCCTTCCCCCCACAAGGGGAAAAGTGGCGATCCCACAAGGGGAAAAGTGGCGATCCCACAATGGGAAAAGTGGCGATCCCACAAGGGGAAAAGTGGCGATCCCACAAGGGGAAAAGTGGCGATCCCACAAGGGGAAAAGTGGCGATCCCACAAGGGGAAAAGTGGCGATCCCACAAGGGGAAAAGTGGCGATCCCACAAGGGGAAAAGTGGCGATCCCACAAGGGGAAAAGTGGCGATCCCACAAGGGGAAAAGTGGCGATCCCACAAGGGGAAAAGTGGTGATCCCACAAGGGGAAAAGTGGCGATCCCACAAGGGGAAAAGTGACGATCCCACAAGGGGAAAAGTGGCGATCCCACAAGGGGAAAAGTTTACAACTTTAGAACATTTAGTTCTAATGTTAAATGAGTAAGTGCTGCATGGATCAGAAACAAGTACAAAAGCTAAAACAATTTTACAAACATGTGACTGTGCAGATTGACAGATGGAATAAAATAGTTTCACAGAACCAGTAACATGGAATTTAGAAGGAGAACTAAACAACTTCCACTGAATCAAGAGGAGAGGAAAAGATGCACACACTCAGAAAACCTTGTAATAATTAATTAGAATGTTCTTTTGCTGGAAAACACAAGGCCAAAATAATGGAGGCATATAGCACAAGATGAAGAGCATTCAGCAAAATGAGACCCACATATATAACAGACTACCTGTTACTTGGATGCCACACTATAACTGTGCTATATGGTTGAACATGGTTTCCGAATTTGTACTGGTTTGACTCTCGTTCTTGAGATGGTAATGTGTAGAGAAAAGAGAGACAGACAGACAGATTTAGACAATTATATAATATAAAGAAAGGCAATGAAATGAACTGCAAGAGATGGCAAAAGAGGGGAAAACTTGGTAAGACTCAGCAGAGAAAATGAGAAGCAATGATACAGTCTAATGACATGTTACAATCTGTGAAAAAAAAACAAAAAAACTAGGTCTTCTAATCTGCTCTTCTACACGTCTAATGATAACTGACCTTTGCAAACATGGAGTGCAGCGGAGTAGATGACCCTGTGTAGCCTCCCTGTGAGAGGAACGTGCGCACCTGTTCCCTGACCTGATCTTCGTCCAGGTGCCAGGAGTTGTCATCGTCAACGGAAGCACCAGCTGTGGGATCTGGTGCACCTGCAAGACAACATGACCATTCGTATACACAACATGACCACTCGTCTACACAACATGACCACTCGTCTACACAACATGAGCACTCGTCTACACAACATGAGCACTCGTCTTTACAACATGACCACTTGTCTACACAACATGACCACTCGTCTACACAACATGACCACTTGTCTTCACAACATTACCACTTGTCTACACAACATTACCACTCGTCTACACAACATGAGTACTCATCTACACAACATGACCACTCGTCTACACAACATGAACACTCGTCTTTACAACATGACCACTTGTCTACACAACATGAGTACTCGTCTACACAACATGACCACACATCTTTACAACATAACCACACATCTAGAAGTGCTATAAGGGAGAGTACACAAGTGTCCAGAAAAGTTTTGTCTGGGAGCGGCTTGCCAAATGGTTCAAATTGCTGAACTCTCATGCTGGAGAACCGGGTTCGAAACCTCAGTAAGACTGTGGATTTTGTTGTCAGGGACAACAACAAACAAAAAGTCCTATGCTGCATAGTCCGGGGGGTGGTGGGCAGCACTGGCTATGTGACCCTAAATCCTAAAAGAGGCAAACATAGGCAGTAATGGCAGGTTGTAAAATTCATTTCTGTATTTCAACACAAATATTAGAAAATGTTGGCGTCTCTTAAGGTAGCTTGAATTACTGTTGACCTGTTTGGGGTAGTGAGCTGATGCATGACAAGAGAGATGCCCTCACATCACATGCTGACCACATCACATGCTGACCACATCACATGCTGACCACATCACATGCTGAGCACATCACATGCTGAGCACATCACATGCCGACCACATCACATGCCGACCACATCACATGCTGAGCACATCACATGCTGACCACATCACATGCTGAGCACATCACATGCTGAGCACATCACATGCTGACCACATCACATGCTGAGCACATCACATGCCGACCACATCACACGCTGAGCACATCACATGCTGACCACATCACATGCTGACCACATCACATGCTGACCACATGACCCACCAAGTGCCGATTGGTCTATAAAATACAGGTCTAGACTACAGGCCCAGTTATGCCTAAAGGCTTTTAAAATGGGTCCTGAAAAATGAATAATTATAAGAGAGATGTCATCAGTGTTCTGTGGGAACAAGCGAACAGTGCAGAAGCATGAACAGATCATGACGGTCTGGAAAGAATAGTTCAGTGAGGAGTGACTAGAAGATCTGTCCAATATTTTACACTAAGAGGGAAAGGAAAGACGGACAGATAATCAAACAGCTACTGGTACTATAGCACCGGAACTCTCTGCTGGCTGCTGAAGATGGGGACAGAGTGCTTATGGGAAACCACAGAGTCCTGTGGTGACAGTTGATAACTCAGCTTATCTGTATGATAATGCAATCCGTGATTTCATGTCAAGCCTACAGTCAGTACTCACAGTTTCACCCATATGTTTACTTACATACTAACAAAATCATCTGACAGAAGGCCAGTCACTATTTATAGTCATAGATTTACACACATGTAAATCCCCGTGAAAGAAGGAGACTCTACATCTTGTCCAGGAGATGTCTGGGATCAAACTGACCTGGAAGCATGTTGATCTCCGACTCCGCCTGGAGAATCTGGTCAGCTATTTTCTGGGCCGTGGGCAAGACATCGGAGTGATGCTCTGTGATGAGGTACTGGGCAAACTTCTGCAGCTGTTCCCTGGACATCTGCAGTAGAGTTTCTGCAAACAAAACACAAGATGGTACCCACAATACATTACTGATGTCCTGCTTACAGGCAGTAGCTTAGTTACCCTGTGGTCCAGTGGGGACTATGGTAGAACACTTGTAAGCATACCTGTCTAGTTATATGTTCAAATCCCTTTATTTGATCCCATGAGAGTTTTTGGTCCCTTTGTGTGGTGGGGTGGGGGAGTAGAGGGACAGACCTACTGCCTCCCTAATAAGTAAGTAAATGAACAACTTTTTGAAAATCAAAAAGTTCTAAAATGGTAGCAGTAAACATCTTGGAAAGCAGAATGCTGCTGAGAAGAGGAGAACAGATTCACTGTCCATTAACAAGCAAGCCAAATAACAGCAACTAATTAAGGTTTGCTGAAAACAAATGTTTTGGCTAAAAGGCGCAGATATCATAACTTACCTGCAAACAACAGCAAAACGTGCTAACTGCTCTTTTAAGGATAAATGAAGGAGAAGAAGATGAGGACTAAAAAGAAGAAGAATATAAAAAAACTGAACTTAATGTGTTAACATTTCAACATACTCATAAGTCAGTTATCCAGCAGAGGAGAAAGAAAACTATCAACTAGTTGTTGGAATACTATTAGTTCATTTCATCCTCCTCTTTCTTCTGTGTACCAATAGAAGTCACAGTTTAATGTATGATAGGTGGCTGAGCTGGTGTCATCAGTGAGTGTGTGTGTGCGCACAAGTGTGTGTGTCTAATATAAATGTGAGAGAGATGAAGAGATGGAGGGAGGGAGAGAGAGAGAGAGCGAAGGCAGAGAGAGAAACAGATGAGAGAGACGAGACTGACAGACAAGGGGAGAGAGAGACAGAGAGAGAAACAGGGGAAGACAGAGAAGAAACAGAAAGAAAAAAAAACAGAAGAGAGGAAGGCAGAGAAACGGAGGAGAAACAAGTGACACAGACAAAGGTGAGAGGGAAAACAAACAGGATAGGGAGACAGCAACAAATAGAAAGAATGGAGGAGAAATAAACAAACAGTGACAAACAGAGACAGAGAGAGAGTGACAGAGCACAAACCTACCCTCATACATACACAAAACAGATCAAATGCTGTAGCACTGCAAGAATGAACAAGTTACCTGAAATGGGCACCCGCAGCTGGACAATTTTGGCTTTGCGGATTCTGTACAAGGAGAGAGCAACCACATGCTGGCACCAGAAGATGTCCTTGTTGCTGCAGCCACATTGCACTGAGGTAATCTTGCATCTGTGGACAGTAGTTCTGATGTAGGTATACACATCGTCAAGTATTATCTGTCATTTTACTGTACATCTAAACATTTCATAATTCAGAGTTTTGGTCGCAAATGTTACAAGGAAAATTTGTGGTCACATATGTTATAAGGAAGATGTTTAGAGTATAAAGTTAGTTGTATATCCTTTACAGAACACTGCAGAGCCAAGTTTAGATTCATTCATTTGGGGGTGGGGTCTGTCTATGATTTTACGAAGTAATTTTATGTTAGTAATTTGTTGCTGCCCCCAGAACGGTCGGCACTACATACCCCTACTTAGATCAACGCAATGCGGTTTGCTGCCAAACTGCCTGCAGCTGGGCAGGTCATGAGAAGCTGCCTGGTCACACAATCACCCTGACTCCCACAATTACACTGTTGTCTATCTTGTGCTGCTCCCTTTACTTCCATGTATGTCTGCACTGATATATGCATACAGCACTGTTTTATATATGACCTTCTTTTTCTACTTAACTCTCTAATAAGGGAGGGAAGAATGTTAGACAGGCCTATGAGCCCAATTGTCACCCTTTAAAGTAAATTATTTATGTTTTCCTGGTAGTGTGTGCACTGCAGTACTTTTGTTTATTTCTCCATGCCACAGGATGTGACTAGCATACAAAAATTAAACTACAAGAAATAGCACGGCTTCCTTCTTTGTCCAATTTTCTTAAATTGAAGAGTTATTATTGTGTATTCAGGGGAGCAGCCAAGGAGACCATGATCCTCCATAAACACTGGGCCTTTATTAATCAATCAAACATCACCTCTACAATAAATGTTGGCTGCAATGGATCATTAGCGCCTTGTGCCCAGGATATACACTCTCTCAGACTGCAGTACATCCATCCTCCAACTTGTATCGCATTCTGTCTCTTGCTTGCCAAGTGAAATTTTTTTTTTAAACATAAGCTCTATGGTTTTTAAAACAGTGTCTTTTTCCGAGCTCAAAACAATTCATCTGTCTTTTTTCTTTTAAAACACTTTTCTTCAACTGTCTTTTATTCTCTTCTTTCCCATGTCTCTCCAGAATAACTGCCCCCCCCCCCCCCCCCCCCCCCCCGGCCCATGAAAATAATCTATTCTCCTGCATATTGACACCTGCAGACTTTCTTATTGCTTGTTAACTGTGGTTCTTTATGTTGCTGATCAATCCAATCATTACACATACCCGCAGATATTCAAATATGAAACTGTCGTTGCATTTTCTTGGCAAAACAGAACACCGATGGCGCTAGATGGATACAATACTGGAAGTCAGAATATACTAACACAGGTGGGAATACACTAACACAGTTGAGAATATACTCTTACAGGTGAGAATATACTAACAGATGAGAATATACTAACAGATGAGAATATACAAACAGGTGAGAATATACTAACAGGTGAGAATATTGTAACAAATGTGAGGATATACTAGCCATTTGGGGGGAGGGAGGGAGGGTGGGGAGTGTGCAGGATTGAGGATATACCAGCACAGGTTAGGATACACTAGCACAAGTGAGGAGACACAAAGGTTAAGACACAGTCAAACAGTGACTTATACACTGGCACAAGCAGGGATACATAAGATGGATGAGGATACACTAGTACGGGTGAGGGTGGACTAGCAACAGCGAGGATAGACTAGCAACAGTCAGGACAGACTAGCACAATTTACGGTGGACTAGCAATACTGAGGATAGATGAGCAACAGTGAGGATAGACTAGCACGTGTGAATAGATAAGTAACAGTGAGGATAGACTAGCACTAGTGAGGATAGATTAGCACTAGTGAGGATAGACTAGCACTAGTGAGGATAGACTAGCACTAGTGAGGATAGACTAGCACTAGTGAGGATAGATTAGCTACAGTGAGGATAGACTAGCACTAGTGAGGATAGACTAGCACTAGTGAGGATAGACTAGCACTAGTGAGGATAGATTAGCACTAGTGAGGATAGACTAGCACTAGTGAGGATAGACTAGCACTAGTGAGGATAGACTAGCACTAGTGAGGATAGACTAGCACTAGTGAGGATAGATTAGCAACAGTGAGGATAGATTAGCTACAGTGAGGATAGATTAGCAACAGTGAGGACAGACTAGCATAAGTGAGGGTAGACTAGCACAATGTAGGATACACATGCGCAGGTGCGGGTACAGGAACAAAGGTGAGGATATACTGGCAAATATGAGAAGTTGCAAGTGTGACTTACAGGGTACACTGGCAAAGATGAGAAGTTGCAAGTGTGACTTACAGGACACACTGGCAAAGATGAGAATAGGCAAGTGTGACTTACACATGCGCAAAGATGAGATTTTGCAAGTGTGACATACAGGACACACTCACAAATATGAGAAGTTGCAAGAGTGACTTACAGTATACACTGGCAAAGATGAGATGTTGCAAGTGTGACTTACAGGATACACTGGCAAAGATGAGAAGTTGCAAGTGTGGCTTACAGGATACACTGGCAAAAATGAGAAGTTGCAAGTGTGACTTACAGGACACACTGGCAAAGATGAGAAGTTGCAAGTGTGACTTACAGGATACACTGAAAAAGATCAGAAGTTGCAAGTGTGACTTACAGGATACAATGGCAAAGATAAAAAGGTGCAAGTGTGACTTACAGGACACACTGGCAAAGATGAGAAGTTGCAAGTGTGGCTTACACAACACCCTGGCAAAGATAAGAAGTTGCAAGTTTGGCTGACAGGACACACTAGATAAGACGAGAAGTTGCAAGTGTGACTTACCTATCAAAACTAATGGACACCTTGTAAACTTTCTCTTGCTGTGACAGGAGCGGGTTGCTAGGTTCTGTGACTGTCCCACTGAGGTGAAATCCTGCAAACAACATTTGTACTATAGTAATCAATCCATTTTAAATACAATGACTTTAACATTTCAGAAAACAAAAAAAATTATAATTAGTATTGAAGAAATTTAATTTAATGTCTGTACACTGGAGAAATTGAATACAGTGATTTGTACAATTGGAGAAACCAGAGAAAACGAATGTATCATTGAAGAAACGACCTGTGCCTGTTCAGGTTCCCCGTTGTGGGGGAAACAGGAACAAACCCACTGCCTCACCAACAAGCATGCCCTAGGAGTCAATTAACTGGGGGCATCCTTTAAAGTCAGAGTGAATCTGCCTGACAGGCAAGAAACCAACAGTCTGCATTAAAAAAAGACAGACCTGTGGTGAAACAGATGTGCATGCAATACTCAGGTTCTGAAAACAAGACTAAAGACCAAAGGTGGACAAACACCAATAACATTCCACCGGAGTTTGGAGGGAGTTTGGAGTTTGCAGCCGGTAAAAGCAAAGAAGAAGAAGAAGAAGACGAAGTAGAAGAAGAAATGAAAGACAATTTTAGACCCCTGGGCGGTGTAATATCAAAGACAATGACTTTAACAACTGAGAAGAAGAAAAAGATTTATACCTGAAGAAACCTTAAATACCAGACATAGAAGAAAACAGGCTACACAAATGCAATATTTTTTATTATTTTTCATGACACAGATTGTAATTTTTATATGTAGCAATGTATCAACATTGTCAGGGTTCACAGTGTAAGTCTAGGCCCTTGTTGGCTTATCCACTGGTTTGTATATGATGTGTGGTATTGACTGATGAAGACATACTAATGACGCCTGTGAACACTGTGTGTGTGTCAATGTTTGTGTGTATGTGTGTGGATAATTACATATCCTCTGTTGCCAAGTGCCCTGGGGTGTACGTGCAAAGGTCACACGAGTATGCACTCAGCTGGAGTTGGGGTCTCTGCGTGCGGATCAGTGCGAACCGTCTCACGGTCATTCACCACGCCCCGTTGAGGCGCACACAGGTATCTGACCGCGCAGCTGCGATGTGATCTCTGCCTTAATCGGGATTACTAGGTTGTTGACAGGGCGCGGTGTTGTCAGGGTCAGAGGTGACAGGGCGCGGTGTTGTCAGGGTCAGAGGTGACGGGGTTCACCCAGCCAGGTAGCCGATCGTGGACAAACTAACAGGCTCTGTGTTGATACAGAGTTCAGGAAATGATGTCTGCGTACATATAAGGTTGGACCTATATTTTATAGACCAAGCGGCATTCGGCGGGTGATGTGGTCAGTATCACACCGGCCGACTTTTCTTCCTAGAACTTTACCCTGTACACATTTAAGGCTGGACCGACCTGGAAGCCAAAGTCGTTTTTTTTTAAACCCCCTAGTGAGATACTGAAACTGATAAGTAGGGGCACGGACGCGTCTCTTTGTGTGGGGTGGTGTCCCCGTACAGTGGTGGTCCTGCAGCTCTTCTAAAGTATTTCATCTCTGTTGTCACAATTTTACGTTCATTGGAGGATGTAAATGTCCACGTTTGGCATCGATAACATAGTGTTGCCAAAAAATAGTTCTGATAAGATTCACTTTAGTACTCCGGGGTATCTGCTTGTGTGTCAATAGGGGAGATATTTGCCCCATTACTTGATTAGCTTTGGCACATCTCAAACTAATATCTCTGTCCAGTTTTCCGTCGGATGTGAAAATTGCTCCCAACTGCTTAAATTCTTCTGTTTGTCTTAAGGTGTTTTTTAATTGTATTTGTAAATTGCCTTTCTGTCTTCATTGTCTCTGTCTTCGTGGTGTTTCATATTATATTCCTCCCCGGTGTCACTCACGTCACAAAATAAGGTGCCCCATTAACTGTAGTAGAAACACGAGGAGGGACAGCGAGGGGGAAGACGACGAAAACATTGAACGCCATGACCACAATTACCTCGGTTCTTAAAACCATTACCACACAGCCCGTCTTCCCTCTCCTCCGTCCCCACCACAGGAACAATCCAAAGGAGGGACAGACAAAGCAGCTTTGAGAGAGACAGAGAGAGAAAGAAAGAGAGAGAGAGAGAGACACACAGAGAGAGAGAAAAGGAAAGATAGAGAAAGAAAGAGAGAGAGAGAGAGAGAGACACACAGAGAGAAAAGGAAAGATAGAGAAAGAAAGAGAGAGAGGGGCAGAGAGACGTTACATCCCTCTTCGCCAATGCTGGCCGTGACGCAAGTCTTCATTAGCGACACTGTTAAGACAGAAAACAGAAAGAGTGGTCTAAAGTCAGTCACTATGTCAGTGTCCGCCGGCTAGCATTGTTTCCACAAGGCACCCACAGAAATCAATGCAGCCCGTGCCGGCGCACGGATCTGGGATCTGCCGTGTCGGGAGACGCTGGCCACAACAACACAAACAGCAGCTCCCCGAAGCTGGAGGTGGCGGGGACATTCTCACAAATGATGTCATTATTCTGTCAATGAAGAATCAATCTCATTACAATTCACCCCGAGACAACGCAGATCTGCAGACAGAGACGCTCACCCGGGGCTGCATGCAGTCAATCACACCAGGTCGATTTGAAGACAAACAGGCAGGCATAACAAAGATAAAGATTAAGGGAAGAGCGAAAGAAATAGAGAGACCGAAAGAAGCAGGGAAGGAACAAAGAACGACAAAAGACCAATAGGAACATGTCTGGAAAGGCCTGTTTATTAATATAATAAACAATGAAATAATGTATTGATAGACACTCACAGAAAGAAGTAGAAAGATAGAAAGACATACAAGACAACAAGTTGTCTAGTGTGTCCTTCTATCTTTCTACTTCCTTCTATGACTGCGATCAATAATACATTATATGTTTATTAAATATTTAATACGGCGTCTAGGGTTCCCCTCTGTTTATGTGAATGTTAGATGTGCCAACACAGTCTGTCCGCCTGACATATACAAGATGTTAAGTGCCCAATCTGGTGGTGAGATTGACTACATACTTTAAACCGCAGCTAACCCCCGAAGTCTAAACCTTTCAGTTATCCTTTTGAGAACTCCAAACACTTCTGTTCGGTGTCCGGCTCCTGCATATATCAGGGTATGGTAACTTTAACTATATCAGGGCATGGTCACTTCAACTATATCAGGGCACGGTAACTTTAACTATATCAGGGCATGGTAACTTTAACTAAATCAGGGTATGGTAACTTTAACCATATCAGGGCATGGTAACTTTAACTAAATGAGGGCATGGTAACTTCAACTTTATCAGGACATGGTAACTTCAACTTTATCAGGACATGGTAACTTCAACTATATCAGGGCATGGTAACTTTAACTATATCAGGGCATGGTAACTTCAATTATATCAGGGCATGGTAACTTTAACTATATGAGGACATGGTAACTTTAACTATATCATGACATGGTAACTTCAACTTTATCAGGGCATGGTAACTTCAACTATATCAGGGCATGGTAACCTTAACTATATCAGGGCATGGTAACTTCAACTATATCAGGGCATGGTAACTTCAACTATATCAGGGCATGGTAACTTTAACTATATCAGGGCATGGTAACTTTAACTATATCATGACATGGTAACTTCAACTTTATCAGGGCATGGTAACTTCAACTATATCAGGGCATGGTAACCTTAACTATATCAGGGCATGGTAACTTCAACTATATCAGGGCATGGTAACTTCAACTATATCAGGACATGGTAACTTTAACTATATCAGGGCATGGTAACTTTAACTATATCAGGACATGGTAACTTTAACTATATCAGGACATGGTAACCAACTAAATGAGGGCATGGTAACTTCAACTACGGCCAGCAACGTCAGCTGGTGAACTCTTGCATCAACTACACGGTATCTAGTTGAGCAGCCGCAGCGTTCCTAGATCGATATCAGCTACATAGTAAACCCATCGTGGTGAAACAATTGTAGCAGGGCCACGTCATCGATGACATGCCAGATGCACACCATAAAGATGATTAGGACTTCCTAGCATGCCTGTCCATGTTGATGTTGACGGTAGTGCAACTTGGAGCTGCCAGGCATGAAGATTTAGTTAAGATTTAGCGGGCGTTTAGTCAATCAGTGGTGAGTGGTTGGTTTGACACTTGTGGGGTTGACTGAATGAGAGCCCAGTTACTTAGACATTGTGGAAGCAGATGGGATATCCCAGGCCGTCAATGCCAGCATCTACGTAGCACATAACATGGCTCCCACCATACACCTCTTCGTGACCTGGCGCTGAAAGAAGAACAGGACTAGGGAGGAGGAGGAGGAGGGTGAAGAAGAAGAAGAAGAAGAAGAAGCTCTACAGCAGATTAGAGCCCTTCAGAAACTACACCGAGTGGTATGCAGACAGTAATATAATAATAATATTTACTAGAGGAGATGTGCCGGTAACCATCTCCATATACTTGAACGTAACGTGAAAATCAAACATACTACACACATGATATCGCCCCAGACAATTACTGAAGCTGTTACCAGTCGTCACGCAGGGGTGTTGGGGGGGGGGGGGGGAGGGGCGAATCGGGAAAGCCCGAAACCTAGCAGCTGTTTGAGCTGGCCGCATGACCTATATCTGGAGGAAAAACCCCCTCCCTGTAGATGCTGCTGGGCTGTGGGGCAGCCGACTTTCTGCATACAACAGCAGCTCGTTACAATCTGCCACAGCGACGAGCTTCCATCACTGGCACTGATCTCAAACAACTAGTCTCAACCCAGCGCGGCCGGCGAGTTCAAATGAGGCAATGTATTATGTTAACCAGGCGGTTGCTAAAACGCAGCAAAGTGTTATAACTAATTGTCGTTTTCTCCAAGAAGACTGGTTGCAATGGATCTCCACAACTTATTTCGAGCTAACGCTGTACGTGCGTGAAAGTGCACCTAGGATCACATATTAGGCGATGTACACATAATGTGACGGAAAGTGCAATGCGTTATTTGATTGGCACCTATCCGTCTTTCCAGATGATAGTGCTCCAGATGATTTTGCTCTAAGGAGG